TAAAACAGCAGTGTGTATAGTTACTAGCTCCCCAAGTGGCTGAAATAAAAAGTCAGGGCAGACTAAAAGTGATTTTGTTCAGATGAAGTATTTTACAACTTTTTCTTGTGTTTTYCCTACTGTTGCTTTTTCCTCACAAGACCATAGACCAATTACTAAACTACCAAAGTCTACCCCCATCCTTGTCAACATGTAAGTGATTAAGTACCACTTTATCACAAAAAGTGAGAAAGCAGCCTGCCAATCTCATATACAGGCTGTAAAAACTATATTTTTATAGAATCATAGAATGGCTTGGGTAGRAAGGAACCTTAGGGATCATTTAGCTACAACCCCCTTGCATGGGTAGGAACACCTTCCACTGGGCCAGGCTGCCCAAAGCCCACCCAACCCGGCCTGTGGCAGCAGCCAGTGTTTTATGGCTTCACAGCTGTGGCTGGGACTGTTCAGACTGTTCAGCCCTCAGTTTTACCAGYCCCTGGACCAGGACTATTTTGAGTGCACTCATGTGCAAATACAAGGCTGGCATCCTGTGCTGTAGATGAACCAAGGCAGATAAGATTGGTTCAATCTCAGACATCAGGTGAAAACACCCCTTAGCACATCTATTTACACATAATTTGYAGAACAAAAGCTGTAGAATTAGTAATCCCTGAAGCAATGCAATACTTGCCCAATATTCGGCTAAACCCTCCAGGAAAATAAAATTAGCAAAGCCACAATTCCAACTCATATAAACCAGAAGAGAGGAACTAGAGGGGCAGGGGAGGAGAAGGTGACTGGTAGTAAAGCACCAGAAGTGTAAATAGAATTAATTTCTCCACCCCTAAAACATAGCTCAATGATGAAGAGATAGGGAAGATGAAAATCTCAGGAGGAGCTTCAAGATGCTGCACCTTACTGGCCACAAAATAAGAAACTTATTTTTTCTTAAAGAAATTCATGAGGATTATTATCGTGCTGTATTTATCTTTGCCCATCTTTTTATTCAAACCCAAAATACCATACTCTGTTCTTCTGGGACAAATGTATGTGTGTTCATGTATCTGTGTATTTTAGTAATTTATATAGAACTAATCCAGTGGTGTGATGAGAAATGCACATTACATTTAAATGAGCAAAGGGAATAACAAAGAAAACAGATGAATCCCATTACAGGTGTCTGTGAGGAAGAGAATACTGATGTGAAGCTCCAGTTTGAGAATTTTAACAGCTGTCAACATTAAAATACCCCTGTGGGAATTAGAAGAGTAAAGCCTTTAACAAATCTTGCAGGTTACTGATATTTGGCCTGTGCATCCACAGAGGGTTGAAATTAATGGAGCAAGGTTTACWCTCAGTCAGTGGTTTAGGATAATTTGGTATCCTGGTAAAACTCATCTTCATCATCCGAAATGARTACCTGTCTTTTACCAAGAGAAATCTAATAAATGCAGCATTTTCAACCTCCTGATTACTCAGACCAATATATGCAACCAGAGGAACGAAAGTACTGTCTCACTCTTATATGTAGSAAGATTGAAATTGTAAACTACAGGTAGTTTGCCATCCACTTGCTTTAGTTACTCCACGAGAACTGAGCTTGGTGCAATTATAGAGCAAATGATAATGTTCAATGAACTTAATTTCTAATTACAAAAAAATTTGAGACCTTCCTTTAAAAGAGGTATTTGCCTTCACAGAAAGGTTTATAGAAGTTCTCCCCACTCCTATGAAACATATTGCCTTCCRTATTTGAAACTATAGACATGATTCTCAAAATTTCTGTAAATAATGGACAGTTCAGACTGAGAATTTCCATCTGCTCTGGTAACAAAGAATTTTCTTTCTAGTCACCTGATAAAAAGGGATTCTGATACTGTGTTGTTCTTCTAATCATTGATCTATCAATGATAATTGATAATGATAATTTTCCATTAGAAAAGTAAATAATTACAGGTTCCAAGAATACATAATGCTAATTCACAGTTTTGCAACTCATTAGAATACTCACTGCAGAACAAAATGGCTCCCTGCTACACTCACTTGTCCTTAAAAGAAAAATTCTAGAAAATAATAAAAAAAATTATTTTAAAACAGTTGATGTTTTCTCACTGTGTTAGTGAGAAAAGAGTAGCTTTAGCTTTCTGTGCCATGGATGATAAACTACTCCACTGGTGAAGTCAAGCCTGTTAATTGTTATTTTGAAGGTTATTCAGAACTAATGCAAATACAAGGCCATTTTCAATTACTTGCAATAAAAATGATGTCCAAAACACGTATCCAGAAACAGGTTAAGAAACATCACACAAATGAAAGGTAATTTGCACACACACATAAAACTCTCACATTTGAGTCCAGAAATATTAGTGTGGTAAACTGGTATTTGAAGTTCAGCATATTTAAAACATAATAGACTTTTGCAAATTAATGCTGTTTTCCAATTGCCAGCCATTTAATTGAGCAAGAAAGATTGGGTCCAAGAGAGGCTCTCTTCCCAGACTCCATCTTCTGTAATCAAACCTAAACTATGGTTAAAACCAGTTTTTTAGCTAACTGCAATACAACACAATAGTATTTGCCTAAACCTGCAGATGTTTAGGGATTATTAACCCTTTGCTAGTAAATTTAACTTTTAAACTAATTTATTGCAGACTGAGGAAAGCAGAAAACATTAGACTGCAGATCGCAGGTGAATAGAGCACTGGGCTAATTTCTTAAATGAGTCAAACCCATACAGTGGCTGGAGCACAGGGAGCACATGCTACTCACCCCAAAGCTGTCTGAAGGTTAAGTGAAAGCAGGCTGCATCTTGCAGCACTAACTCATCGACTGCCATGGGGAAATCTGCTTAAGTACAGACTGCAGGGGATTGTTGGCAGTGTGTACTTTTCAGAATGTTGCTACAGAAATAAGGCAGTTACGAGCACATTTGAAAAAGAAAGGACTTGACTGTAATTAAGGAAKAAGTGTGCGTTAGAGGCTTTTAAAATTTAATTTGGATACTAAATTACATCTTATTTCTCTTTCTTTAACAAACAACACCAAAAAGCTTATGACCTAAAATAAGCTTCTTTAAAACTTAGAATAGCAGCGGCTGTATTGTAATATCAACCTGAAAATACCACCCAAGGAGGTCTTGCTGTACTTGCCCTACAAATGTATGAACCAATCCCWACCATAAGGAGTTTGTAGTTAGTACGTAATGAAGTTTAATCATAGTGTGAACATAAACCTCAAACCCTCCTACAAGTGGCAAAAATCTGAAAAATCAAGGTAATTACAACCCTTGCTCATCCTGATTTTTGAGGCTATTTTTAGAACAGTATAGGCTGATGTACTCTGAGCTTTTTTATATTTGCATTAAGTCCTCTGTGATTTCTCCTCTGAAATGTGTGCATATGCTGAGTCCATGTGAGATGCTACCACTGRCGCTTGTCGTAAGAATTAAATCCCTCTCAAGCTTGTTTACAGCTCAGCACTTGTCATACTGCTCCCCTGAGCTTCATGGCTGGTTGGGTTTTTTCTTTCTCTTTGGCTTTGTGAAAGATTTAATTTCTTTTTTGTTTATATGTGTACTTACACTTGCAGGTGCAGAAAAGAAAAAAATCACTGTACCCAGATGTTTTGAAGGTGCAATAGCATACATACAGCTGAAATTAAGGAGAAAAACTAGCAGATAAAACCAACTTTCTCATACATTCGATGGCACATTTAATAAACCTGTCATATTTCGTTGACAAGATAACCCYCAAATTCCATTTTAGGAAGACCAGAATATTTTACAGTTATTGTCTTTGCTCTTTTGCAAAGAGTTTAATATCCGAAGATGGTCCAATTAGTCCTATTTTCAGTTTCACTAATATCTTCTTGTAATAGTTACAGACTCCATCACCACTACTGCAAGCCGTCTTAGCTCATTGCTGAGTTTAAGCTCAGTTTCATCCAAATTTCCACCCATAATTTGAGAATTGTATTGTTAAAAAAAAAAAAAAAAAAAAAAAAAAAAAAAGCACAACAACCCCTCCCCAACAACCTTCTTGCTTCTGTACTAATAGGAGAGGTCATTGTCTGGATTGCCTGTAGGGACTCCAGTTGTGATCTCTCCTATCACATCTAGTTAAGCATGTCTCCATTTCACAACTGTCACTGCTTAACCCTGCAATTCATTTACCCCACCACATACTGCGACAGCCTATAAAAGGGGAAAAATACTAATGAGCTGTGGCTTCATACRCACCTACTGCAGCCATCCCTCTACACACAGAACAATTGCTTGTGTTTCACCTTCACAGCAGGTGCARGCAGAGCCTTTCCCAGGCAGCAGAAGGGCTGTTCGTGCCTTTGCTGCAGCTCAGCACCTGCATGAAGAGCTTTTCTACATGCACGTTCCCAGTCAATTCAGTTTATTCACACAACAATGTGTGGAAGAAAAGAATTCTTCTGTGAACTTATTTTTTTATCAACTTTTACCTTTTAACTTTTCTAGTCATGCACAATGTGCAACAGAGAATTTGCTGATGATGGGAATAACAAAAATATAAGCATCTGATGCAGAACCCAGGAATTTTAAAGGGCACTCTTGTGAAACCTAAACAGATGAATCTGCATTTTTTTAGCTATTTTCAGCTTCAGTAACTTCCTCTAGAGCTCCACTGGACACAGAGTAGAAGAGCCTGATCAATGGTTCTGTGACATGACCTCTACAATCACAGCATTCTGCCTGCTGGCACAGTGGGGAAGTCAATTTTTTCACTTTTATACCCATATATTTGTCAGTTTTTCTCTGGACTTCCAGCAACCATAAACAGTTCCTGCTCTGCCTGTTCAGCAGGGTAAATGAAAGAGGAGAGACCTTAGTGGATAATACAAGTGAGGTGCAAACAGCACTTTCCACCTCCTCTGATATTACAATTACATCTATTTTAGCTGATGGACAGGAACTATGTTTGGACAAACTGAACTTTGTTAATTACTGACCTGTAATTGGTACATTATACAAGAGTATCAGTTTGCAGTCAGATCAAATCTTTGTGCTGTGAAGTAACYGGTAACAGTTCTGTCAGATGCTGCACAGAATCTCATGTTTCTAGATAAAGATGTCTACTTTCATTAACCAAACTCTCATTAAATAAAAGACTAAAAGTAGAAGCATTTTGCTTGTACATGTTTGCTTGTACATGTATTCTGCTCACAGTAAAGTTATCATTTGCTGCTAGTTCTTATTGATCCTTTATTGCAATGAGGTATCTTGKTAATCCAATGATACTCTGTTTGCTGCTTTGTATTTTCTCTGGAGGTCCTGTTCAGAATTTTTATCAGCTTTAGCATCACCTGTAAAGAAGAGGACATGGCTGTTATTGCAGGGAGTCAGTTCAGAGTAAATTTTACCCACTCTAATTAAGGATAAGCAAGAGACTAACCTTTAAAAGATTTTTTCATAGTCTCCTCTGCTTGTTCTCTATTTTGCAGGGGCAGCATACATATAAAAAAGATGTGACCAAGAAATTCTCATAACAATGCAAGTAGATTGTAAGCTCTCTCAGACAATCGGCTTTATTTTGATGGAAAGAAACACCACCTTTGTAAGGACTGTGTAAACACATGGAAGAAAGAATACATTAACACAAACCACAAATTAGTCGAGAGGACAACAGTTATATTTTTKTTACTACCAAAATACAAATGGTATTAATATGTCAAAAGCTTCCAAGATCCCACTGCTGAACAGCACTTCCCTACCGCACTTAAATCACTCAGTAATAGCTTGGAGTCAGGAAAAGAGGTCCACTTCTACACAAAATTATTTTAATTTTTATTTCAATAATGAATAACCCTTCACATATACACCAGTATCCATGAATCAAGTGCACTAGGAAGGGCCAGCTTTATCCTGGTGGAAGTGCACAAGCCTAGCAACAGTTTGASAGGCACAGCTATCCTGGACAGGATCAGTGCTTCCCAGAGCCCTCAGGCAGCCCTACTTCCTTACTGMATATCTCACCTGCTTTTGTGGAGAGTGGAGATGAAATCCCATTTCCCTGCACTGAATAGCTCACCTTGTCAGAAGGGTGCTTGGATTAGCAAGATGCTCTAATTCAAGTACAATTTTTTATTGTACAACAAACTGCTTGGACAACTTTCTCTCAAAACAGCCTATGGATTGCTCTGGACTCTCTCCATTTTTAACATGATAAAAAGCAAGATCCCCTTTGTATTTTATTACTCTGTTCATGTACCCTCATTGATAGACTGAGAACTGCTCTTTGAACTACACTAAAACTGGAATGAACATTTTTAAAAGCAAAAACTCAAGGTAATCATAAAACACACTTACCTTTTTTTTTTATTAAGGGCATATAAAGCATACATGAAAATTTATAGGATTCAACTAGACAAAGTAAGTTCACAAGCTGCAAAAATCAACAGTAATCAACACAAACAGACCAATGAGGTATAAATTTGCCCTACACAAAATTTTTAAGTGGTCTATAACAAAATTCTGCTGTGACAGCCTATGGTCACAGTCTTTAGTGGAATACCAATATATCCAACAATAAAAAAATAACTCTTTTCTGCATACCAGCATATAAATAACAGTATGCCTGTAGAAAAGCTTTAAGATCTTTTATTTAACATTTTGTAGGATAAAGGCGTAACTCTAGATTCTTTACCCTGACCTTCAGTTTGTGATTCCTTCTAGAAGTAAAGCACCACARAAATGAGATTTAACATGTATTGCCCAGGATTCTTCTCTCTCTCTGCCACAGGAGGAGAAAAGCAGATATCATTTTGTTATAAAAACTTTCTTGTTTAAAATACATCACCCAATACTTAAAATTCACTATGTGTTACTATTGTTTTTTTTTTCCTCTGTTTACTCTGCCATTCCGTTTCAAGAAAATCTGAACCACAAGTCAACCAAAGCCTCCCAAGCTGCACAAGGCAAACAGACACTGATTGGACTTGAGGAAGATCCAGGTGACTGAACGTTCACTGATCATAACCTAATAATGACTGCAATTTTCTATTAAATGTCAAAAATATAGACAGCATACACATGGCACATGACTTCCTTAAAAATAAGCCATATATTAACATGAAAACATCAGACTTTGGTTAACCAAATCACTATCTCATGATTTCACTAAAATCTTGAAAGACCAAAAGAATGATGYGACTTATGCTTCTCAGCTTTTTCATGTGTCTTGATATTTGAAGTTCTTCAAGTGGCAGATCTCAAAGAGATTGAGTACGTAAACTGTTCCACTTTTSTTTTTTAAACGTCATCTACACCAGCATGGATGATAATGAAGATGCAGCCCAAAATTTACATCAYACATCTCTTCAGAGCCTGAAAAGTCTTTTGAGACTGTTGAGATCTCGTTTATTTAGAGGCTCCAATAGTAAGCTGGATGGTCTCTGCATTTTAATACTGTTAGACTCATTCAGCAGCTGAACTCAGCGAACTTATCAGGACTGAGGAGACGTCAGTTGCAGGCTGATGGGCCAAAAAAATACCTGTATAGTCTGGAAGGGTTAGCACATCATACCACAATACACAGGTGCAAAAAGRAGGTTATGCATAGGCACTTGCGCATTAAATTTAACACAAAACAAACAAACACATCAACCAAAACTAACAAAATCACCAAATCAAACATATGTCTCAAATTCACAATATTGAAGTTACATATTTTTTGGGAACAATTGCTAAATCTTTTCTAAAAACGGGAGAAGGTTATGCCCTAAGTTTCAAGCTGAGCATAAAATTATACACAAAGACAARTTTTTGTTGCAAATATTTACTCAAAAAGTAATAATTTACAGCAGTGCTTTAACAGCTGTTCAAAACATTTCACATTAATTAAAAACAAAACTGTAAGTCAAAAGCACATTCTGAATGTTTCAAATGGAGCAATAAAATCAAAAGAGCAAGCTACTCTTAATAATATGCATTCCTAAATCTACCTAACTAGAAGACAAAAAAAAAAAAAAACCCCAAAACCAAAAAAACCAAACCAAAACAGCAGCCATCTTTCTGCACATAACTTAGACTACAAAACGTCCTGAAACTGAACTGTACAATTCTACTTTATATGCCCTTGTGTTTTAAGTTAGCCAATAGCAGCTGCAACATGGCAGAAYGCATGCCAGGTGGTGTCTCCAGTTTGGAGTTTTCCTTATTTTTGTTTGAAACCATTTTTACATTAAAACATACTTTGGTGTGACTTACAGACCATTCCTATGGGTCTAAATCTAAGGATAATTAAACCAATGGTAAAAGTCTAATAGCTACAGTACTTTCAGCATTATGTCCTACTTCATACAGTTATGTTCGGTATTTCTGCACAGCCTGCACAGTGAAAACCCCACAAATATATATTTTTATTGTAATAATTCCACTTTCACTGAAAGTTTATTAAGGTAAGTTTACAGCCTGGCAGGATTACACCTGTACAGAGGTGCACAGATTCATATACTTCGGTTTACATGCTTTTACAGACAGGAATGTGACACCAAGTCCAAAGGTTTATATTTACCTAATCTATCAGTCAATCAGTAACCTTCATTACAAGTGTGCTCCRTATCAGCATCAAAAGTGAATTCCTACTCAATCCCCAGTTCAATGATATTCACACTATGAATATTCACACTAATGATATTCAAGAATTTAGAAAAATACTTTCTGGGCAAACAAATCACCTTATCCTGGGCCAGTTAACCATAAAAAAATTAGAATTTATACCTCTTTTCAAGTATCAATCTAATAATATATCACATCCAAGAGACAGGAAGATACATTTGAACATGTTACCTTTTTTAAGCTTAATGAATTCAGTCATACATACACATACATGCTATCTCCATATGCAAACTTCCCTTTGGTGTCTCTTCCTCTTCACCTCCCTTTCAAAATTTTTAATATTTAGCATCCATGAGCACAGTCATCAGGAATGGTCCATGGTGTTCTTACCACAGTTCATAACAAACAATAAAATTAACATAATTTCAGCTTGTTTCATTTTCATCTGTCTTGTTTACAGTTGTTTCCATTCTGCTAGGATTGCTCTCTCCAGAAGTCTCATCTGTGTGCTCAGTGCGCTGTCCTGCTTTCTTGGATGAAGGTGTGACATTACCTTTTTGGAGAATTTCAGTAGCTTCATGCTCCAGTACTTCTGATGGAGTTAAAGGCTCCAAATGAATACTGCCTTGTTCACTTATGTCTGAACTAACGGATTCGGGTTCATCCCTCTTTCTCAAGAACTGCTCAAAACTGACATCTTCCCCCAAAGTCAGCTTTAAGTCCCTCACGTTCATTGCTGAAAGCATAGCTTCATCCAAAGGACACACTTTAGTCTGCTCAGTCAAGACAATGCCATCTGAACTTTGGCACATTGTCAGCTCACTTTCATCATGAATACATTTTTGTTTCTCATCTACTAACTGTTTGTTATTAGCTGAATCACAGCATGCTCTTTTCTCATGCAAAGAATTCTTTGAGCTCTTGCCAGGGAGTTCCAAAGCAGGAACATTTTCTGTATTTGACAGTGATGAACCTTCTTCACTTTTTTCAACAGATGCAACTTGTTTAGTTTGATTTCYACTGCATTCTTGTGTTTTATCTGAAGAGTCATGCTCTGGTTTGCTGAAAAAAACCAAACCAAGTTATYTTTAGATATAATTTTTATATTATATATGAAATAAAGCAATGCATAGCTATACTCTGCAACGTGACACCAAGAATGGTATTGAAGATTTCCTCTTTGGGATTTTATAGCAAGAAGACAGAATTTAATAAACAGCTGCATTTTTCTTATCTATTTACAAATTGAGCTTTGTATTTAGCAGTCAATTAATACTCCAATTCTTGCATTTTAGCTCCAGAAAGGAAGGCTGTCGCTTTTGTGACACATGGAATTCCCTAAAATAACCCCTGTAGGTCCTCCACCTGCACAGACTCTTTGATACAGATGCAGATAAAATTCCTTTATACCTTTATAGCACCAWTTGACTCTGCAATACTCATGAGAATACACAACAGCCGGAAATCTAAATTAACAAATCAAAAATTTATTTGAGCAAACACAATCTGGATTCACTGAAAAAGCATATCTGTGAAACAGCATTTTCAGTCACCTTTCAGAGTAAAACTGGGTTTACAAAGGGGAAATACAGAAACAGAGAAGCTCAATTTTTCCTGTAAAGATTAAATCTGTTACAAGTTTAWTATAATTTTAATCAATCCAAAGTTTTGCAGAATGAGAAGCAGACTGAATTACCTAAAATGATGATGGTGACASACAAAAGAAAGTGTGGGGAAGAGGAAAGGGGAAGCTGTAAGAAGTAATTTGTCTAATTTCAGATATAAATTCTTTAGAGAAAATCAAATTAGGAACMAAGTCTCCTCTCCCAAATGAATTTTTAAATTTAAATTGAAAGTAGTCTGCAGAAAAAAGCTGTGAGAAACACGGTATCACTAAATATCTCATTAATCAAAAYACATTTTTATTTTGTTTGTCTACCATAAACCAAATGCCTTGAACAGAGCTGTAGTTTCCTTTAGGACAACTGTRAAACTTTGCAGCTGACCTCCAACTACTCTTTGGAGGGCAGGCTTCCCACAAAATACCTTTACAGGTACAGTTCATTCATTAGATGAGCTATAAATTATTTAAATTTATTGACTTTTAAAACCACATTAATTAATTAAACAGCTTATCACAACATCAGTAAAATTGATTTTCTGGGTTTCTATAAGAAAATGTTATCGCAGAGATAGCAAGAAGTATCTCCTACAAAACTTGTTAAGTCATCAGTTCTAATAAAATCTACCCTTTCAAAGGTTTCTTCTAGAAAAAAAGAAAAACCAAACAACCCCCTCAAAACTGCTTATGCCTGTRCCTTCTTTGTTGATACTGCATTAAAGGCAAATTTAATCTGCTGAAGTATGGTGCTGCCTCTATTGTATTTAGATAATGTTATTAATCATAAATTATTCACAACCTCAGCAAGTCTTAATAGTTGTCTACAGGGTGCAAAATACTTGACAAAAAAAGCTTTACCACTTAAATTTTATGAAAACTATATACTGATATAAGATTGATCAAGCACATGTGTTTTTCTAAATCCAAAAAAGCAGCCTAAACCCAGACCWTTTAAAGAATTACAGCACACAATGAATACCTTCTAACACTAATGTTCTAGCAGCTAACAGTATCTTGAACTGTACAATAAATAACTTATAATTACCTTAATTATTACATCTTAATTTGCAACAACAGATGGCAAAAAATACCTACAAAATGTATTGGATTCAAATAACATTTCTACTGTAGCACTGTAAAGATGCTCTTCTAATTAACAGTCAGAGAAATAATCGGGGTAAATCAAATGAGAACACATTTTTTTGGGCCAGGGACTTTAAGTACTCTGAAGTATTTAATCATGAGTAGCCACACCAGTARAAGATGATGCAACACCAAATATTTAGCTTAGCTTCACTGCTTTAAAGATTTCTATGCAGGAACTTAAATATGCTGGAAATAGCCATTTGTCAGTCACTACTGAAAGACCAGAACAACTTAGACACAAATAAATCAGACATTGCATACCCAAGGACAAAACTTACTGTTCTTCTTGTGTCAGTAAATAAAAGTTCTGCCACCAAATTAAATGGGTGTAAACTGGATCCAATAGTTATTGTTTTAAATCKATTCTAAATGTTGTTTTACATGATTGAATTTGAGAGATTTCTGTGTTCATTTTACAGCTTAGAGAATAGATTCAAACTGGCTAATTTATGCTGGTTTGGAAATGAGTAGAGTTTGTAACAGTTTGTGGTAACCAYATCTTTGTTATTATGGTTTACCTTGAATTTATGATGTATACTCTYAACTCTTAATTTTGTTTATAAACTGTTTTAGAAAGCAGCTCCTTCTAATTTGTAATAGGCAGAAGTGGCATGAATAGACACTAAACCTTAGAAAATTATCACCTTGTGATGTTCCAAACCTTAGAAAATCATCACCTTGTGATGTTCCCAACCCTTTTATGATACAAGAAGTCTTAAATCCCATAGGTTTCAAACACTGACAAAGGCCAATTCTTTCTTRTATCTGTGAAGTCACACTGCTTCTGGAAGGAACATGATGAAAATAATCTGACCACCTCCAGYAAGTACAGCCTATTGATCCAACAATTTTGAGTAATTCTGAAACCACTCTAGAACTCTTCRGAGATTGTTCACTCTAATGGGCTTCTAGTTAAGAACAATGAAAAAAATGCCCCTTAATTGACAACCCCTTAAAAAAGTTGCCCCCAAAATGTAGCAACTGAACCCAAAATTTCATCTTGAGAATAGATCAGCCATAAAACCAGAGTAAAAGTCAAGTAAGAACATTAATTTAGACACCTTGAAGTCTAAATTCAGTTTGATCTGAAACTTAAGTGGCTAGGTGAAGAGGCACCCAGGACTAATGGAAGAGATCTGGAGTCAGTAATAAAGTTAGACTCTAAACTCCCGATAAGGACAAATAGGAATATTCTCATTTCTGAAATTCAGTTTCATTGTGTGCCCTGCTCTAACATAATAAAATTGCATGTATTTGCACATAMACACAGAGTTCAAATAACAAGCCACTGTCTTCCCAGCAATCTCTCATGTTTTCTTACAACCAAAAGCTCACTGGGTAAGCAGAACAAATTCAGGTGGAATCTTTTGCCAAACATTTACTTTTTGTCCACACCTAACCAAAAGTAACCTTTTCTGGGATGACTGTAGCTTCAAGAATTTCTAGAAATCAACTTTAAGTGTCTCAAGGTATTTTCCAGACACTCAACCGAATCATACCCAGCATTAGTAAATAAAAATCTATTTATAACTAAAAGAATGCAAAGTTCATTGGATTGTGGATTTTTAGGTGTCTCCTTTTTTAAATGAATCCCACCTTCTTAAAGAAATTCCCTATTTTGACAGATATAACTTTTAGTGCTGTAGAGTTACATTTAGCAGAATAACAGAAACAAATATTGACTTTAACATTTTCAAAACAATGGTAAGACATAATTGTAGGGTCAATGTCCAAATAAAACTACTCAAGTCCTAAAAATAACAAAAGAGAGATAGGTTAAAGTACATACAATTCAAATCTTAATTTTTTGACCATAGTTAAACTGGTTATATCATGCATATTCATGCTCTGCCCTTGCAGATATGGTCCAATGTGTTGCATTATTCATGTAAAGTGTTGGGATCATGAGAGATTTAATACTAAGTCAGGCAGGTTTATTTGCATGATTTAGAAGCGGGTTTATGTTATGAGTTTTCCCCATGACTTTTCCGAGATCTTCACACAAATGGAAACAAGATGTCACAAGGCCAATTAATTCAACATGAACCATTTCCACCAATCTCTCAAATCTGTAAGTAGCCKGTGCTTTGAATGCAAGGCTGAAACTTAAATTGCTGTAGCAAAGCTGCAAAAGAACCAAAGGCTAATATTTCAAATAAGCATTCAAAAGACATATAATTGATGTAACTTCAAATCCAAGTGCCTATCTAGTGTAMTTTCTGGGAAATTCTCAGAGAATATTTCTGAAGGCCACAGAAACCTGCAATCACMTTCCATTCTTGTTGTCAGAAACCTGAACGAAAGTGAAATACAGACTCAACTTCCTCTGAAATGAACAGCATGTTCACAATGAAAACACAAACCCACTGTGCTTTTCTGAATGCTGCTGTGTCAAAACAGAACCAAGTCCTGCAAGAAAAACCTGTAGTAGGTAAATGATGCTTGAAGATGAACAGCAGCATTCAAGATRGAACACAGCTTCTGTCAGAAGGAAAAAAGTAGCAAAAAGAAGACTTTAGAATACTGAGTAAGTGTGCAGATGCTCAATCACAAAATATGCAGAAGAGACAAAGAATGATGRGATCCTTGCCATTATTAGCAATACTACAATGGTTGCAGAAGCTCACTATCACCAGACCTGTGACTGATTACTAAAAGTCAAGAGGACAGAAATACTGGTGAAAATGAATTAATCTCAGAGAATTTGATTACTCAGAAAAACAAATTGCTGCAAATCAAGAACAACTTGCATTCACCAAAAAATGACTTCTTATAACTAGGAAGTAGTATCAGTGACTGATCCTTGAGTGAGATAAGTTTTATCTCTTATGCTGCTTGCAGGCCAGTAAATGAGAGACTCAACCAAGATATATCCACTGTAAACAGGAGGTTGAGTTTGGAGGAACATTAGATGTTCATCATGGCAAAAGGAAAGCTCATCACATATCTAGACAACCTCCTGATGGATAAACTTGCCACAGACGATCTAGAACTGAAGATGAAGTCAGAAGCACTAAAATCAAAAGCAGCAGATGTCTCAGCAGCTTGATTAGAACATCCTTGAAGATGAGAGATGATACCAAAAGAACAAGGTGTGAATGAACTGGAACTGTAGCTGCTCCACCCTCAGAATCAAGGCTCAATAAATATATGTGCTTCCATTGCATGCTTTCTTTCTCTCATAGTATTTTGGAGCAAAAAGCAGCTTAGCCACCAGAGAGCCAAACAGCTAATAAATTCCTTGGGCCAAGATTCAGTTTATCTAGTTACATGTGACAGGAGTCATTCAAAGCATATTTTGCCACTACACATTAGAAAAAAAATGCAACTTACTTATTAARCAGATCAGGACTTGTATGCTTTAGTGAACACCCAAAAAGAATCACAAAGCTTTTTAGTTTCAGAAGGTGGGATCGAGTTCAGAACAAAATAGGCTTTGATGTCAACCCATAAAAATCACCATTTACACACTACTCTAGCTGGGAAAGATATTGATAGATTGGAAAAGGAAAGAAACACTGCACATGAGCAGCAAAGAAACACTGCATCACATAAGTGAAACTCCTGGTAAGCCTCTCTTCAATGGAGAGGCAAAAAGCTCCAAATCAATGCTGCAAAGCAGAGAACATTATCAAAAAGGGCCTTTGACTACAATATTGGGAGAAAAGACCAGACCTGCTGCCTAAAAGGTGCAAGAAGAGAATACCACAGCTTCAGTGCATGAAGAAAAAGAAAAAGGTCTGGTCAGATCCTTGTTTGCTTACATACCAAAATTATCCCAAGCTGGACTGGGTTCAATTTTCTGGTCCACAATGATGTATCAGTGAGCCAAGGCAGTATAGGATACCTGCTCACTTTCAACTGCCCTGCAACAAAAATGTCTGCTGTCAGTTCATTCAAAAATATGTTAATGGTTGCGCAAAGCAGAGAGTTGAGCATTAGAAGAGTACTCGCACAGTTATTAAATCTTACTCCCTCAGCACAAGGTGGGTCATCAAATAAACAAGGAGACTTTTATGTAGAGTAAAATTTTAAAAAACAATTCTGCTGGAACATCCCCAGCTAGGTTATCTGTATTACTAATGGCAGGAGTCTGGTCCAAAGACAGGCTCTGTAAGAGTACACAGAGTTCATGGAACATTTCTGATCATTAGCAATAAAGATGAGTTTTACAACACATAAAGACAATCCAATATGTAATAAAAGACACCAAAAGATACCATCTGAGAGACGTAAGGRAAGATCCAAAAGTGCTCAAGATTGTAATTGGGAGTCACTGTTTCCAATGATGAAGCGATTCTGAAGAGCCCCATAAACAAGTCATTCAATTACAGGTCAAAGAATTGGAAGAAACATTAAGAGATCATTGGGAAACTATACAGCAAAAGTTATGAATATTGTCTGCAAGTTCCTCTTCTTCCAAAGCAACCAAAGAGTACCATTAAGAACCATCCCGCAAAAGATGAACATTTGGGTTTGTACTCTACAACAAATTATGAATTAAAGAATCTTCCATACAGGTCTACTCATACTTTTCCATATAGCAATGATATATTCTTGACCAAAGTATCAGAGAATAATGTACGGAACAGGACAAGATTTACTGATATTAATGAAGTGCATGAGCCTGACAATTTCAAAAAGCACCATCACAGATTTTATATCACTTCATGTTGTACCAGTAAGATCCTTTTGCAGTACTGACAACAGCCTGCCACTGCTGTACATCTTCAGCCACCATCCAACACACCTATAACCTTTCCTTCTGTACAGTTCAGCAAGGWCTAATACACAACACCTAGTATCAGCTACAAATAAAAAAGCTACAGTTTCCCACCAGTATCATAGCTCAACACTTTATTCTCTCATTGTTTCAGTTKCACTGAAAGCTGAACTACTAGAGGACACCGTCTTACTAGCCAGTTCATGGAAAATAAGAGAAAAAACAAATATCATAAATATTAAATAATATATTTGGGATATTTCCAATACTCAGGAAAAGCTGATTTATGCTCAGGGGCCTAAGAACTTATCGCTCTGTTGGAAGAGTTCTCACCGTGCGTGAGACTAAATTCCTTTTAGAATCCTTCTAAAGGCTACGTGGACTCAATCAGGGTTAAACCATTTTCTTCTATCTTTTAAAATATGTTTCTTTGCAGTCTAATTGACATTTTTGATTTTGTCTTCTGAAATGGTTTGAAGAAAAYGCAAATGTTTGACTTAACTGACACAACTCTAAACCTTGAATTAAGGCATAAACAGGTTCATAAACTACACTGTAAAGCCTCAGAAACTGTTCCAGGATAATCAGGGAAGGCTTGGAATGTCTGATTCTTCTAAAGTCTAAAAAAAACCAATCTAACCAATCTGCAACACAATCTCCACAATACTGAAGGTTCTTTTTCAGATCCTTAAAAAACCCTGAATAATACATACTAATTCTTTTTTGAAAGTCAGAATAAAAATGCTATTACAAAACAGTATACCTTTGTCATTTAAAGAACATTATTGTGAAAATAATTCCTAAATATTTTGAAATATTAAGACTGAATTTGTCTTTTTCAGTAAAGAGAATTCCTTTTTGCATTCATATTCCATAAAGAACATAAACCACTAATTTGACAAAACTAGTATTAAGTAGAAGTAACAGTCTCACTGTGTGTAGACAGGTCAGAATTGAGAAGTTCCAACAGTGTAACAATTATTTATGTCTCTCCAAACGAAACAAAAGCCTGATTTTGTTTTAGCTGCAATAAGTAATCGTTTTATCTCTTCATTTTTGTTATTGTGAACATGGTAAAATGAAAAAGCACTAGTACACTAAGGGCTTGTGTTCATCCATACATTCTAAATTCTATGAAATTCAAAAGAAACCAAAATTCAAAAATTTTGTTTATCATTAAATTAATAGAAAAAAAAATTAAGCAGTAAAATAAAACTTACTGAGACACTTGTGCAGCAGTAGGGGTATCTGCAGAAACTGTAAATAAAACCAAAGGATTTAATTAAAAACAAAATGTGGAAATACAGAGATACTCACTGTGAAATGTAAGTACAGAAATAATGCAACTCAATATAGGACTATAATAACAAAAGAGAAATCCACATGTTAATATTTCTACATTGTCTAAAAAACACACTACATGTACTCACCTTTCTCTACAATAACTTGACACGTATGAGTGTTGTTCTCACTCAGATGTGTGGCCATGCTATCCAAACTAGAAACATCAGCCAGGAAATCACAGTTAAGACACACGACAGTCACACCTCTAGAAAATAAAAAGTAAAAAGGAAGTGTAAATACAACACGGTGATGGAAACRTTCTTCTTAACTTACAGCAACTGGACAGACTACAGACTATTTAAAAAAATGTACCAATTAAACTTCAGATGAGATGATTCACAAAAACATAATCTTACTTTTTCTACTGCAACTAGTATCAGGAAATTCCCATCAATGACCAGGGCATCTCCATGCTGGATATAGTACAAAGAACATGACTTTAGACAGAAATTTATCTGTAGAGCATGACTTTCTCTGTTTGGATGGTTGGTTTTTTTTTTCCCTGACCCCCTCCCCATTAYGCATCTTATGAAYAATCAAATAATAATAATAATTTAAAAAATTAATAAATAAATTAAAAACTGCTCAGAATTACGTTCACAAATATTGTCAAATAAATTTGTCATTGACTACCAGTGTTCCACAGAACACTGCTATTGGAAAAACTAATGGTTTTATTTCTCTGCTCTGAACTGTGGAAATTCAAGAGGTTATAATCTCAACTAAGTTATCAGTTCAACATCAGAAAATAAAAACATAATAATCTGTAACTGAAAAAAGCTAAATTACCGTAGGCCTTGTGAATGCTTCTTAAAGATCCAAAACCTTTTACTTGGACGAGCACTGTGAAAACTAAATATATGAAAACATTACCACTTAGACTGGTTTTCTTGAATACATTACTCCAAATAATCCCTACACTATTCATGGTACTGCAATTTGCTTTTAACAAGACATACATCTAGAAGCCTAACTAACTGAATTGCATTATTCTTAAGCATTCAATTGCTTAAAATTCATGAACTTGTGAATCTCAGCTCTAGTTTAAAACATTGTCTCCCTTGTAAATAATGAGTTTGATTGGTGAAAATCTTAACTTCATTGGCACAGTTCTTCAAGAATATACTCATATTGCTTCCATTGGCAGTTTAGCTTTTGAAGAACCATGGCTGTAGCTTTGGAGTGCACCACAAAAGAGGTAAAACTTTGCTGAACTTGTGCTTCCTAAAGAGATGGCTTTCAATGAGAAATGACATTTTCAGATAACCTGTAAATTCTCTCTTATGCAGGTCAAGTATGTGCCATGGAATARCGTGCAGTTGAATAGAGGGGCGACTACTCCATAAACACCCTMCCTTTTACAATCTTCCTCCTCACCAACAATTTTTCCTTAGGCTCACCCAAAGAGGTGACGATAGGCGCTGCTAAGGATCAGAGGAGATGCATTAATGCATCAAGAGGACAAAGGATGAAAAGATTGGCTATTTTACTGCATGGATGAATCTCACCTACCATCCAGACCACTGGCAACAATAGGAACCATTTACATTAGATTCCTCTTTCCCCTTCCAGAATAAATTTTTTCTTGTACAACTGGAATAAGGAATTTCTTAAAGATTTTTTTTTTCAAGCATGCMAACAATAGATTATACACATAAAAGCATGTAAACTATTTCAGCCTAGAACTTCCATGAGCATAACAATTGTATTAATAGATCAATATATATARAATATATCTAAAGACTTAGGCCACAGATTCGAGAACTCCAGCATTTGAAAATGCGATGGCATTTTCTGTGTACATGAATTCAGAAAGAAAACTACAGTGTTTTTCCACAACACAGTTTGCTTGTTCGGGCACATGATTAATGAACAGATTTTTAAAATTTTGTTTTACTGTCACTGCTGTGATCTGTATCTAATTATTACATGGTACAATTCTATGGCTCTGAAAAATAATGCATTTGTTTCCTTAACAGGCTTTTTTACAGCTGTCATCACTAATATCCTACGCTGCCCCACAACCAGGGACAAACTGAATGTTACTTCTATGGATGACCAAAAGTAGTCTAAGAAAAAGTATCTACTTGAGTTTGCTATTTAAGACATCCTACACATCTGAGCACAGATTTCACTAGCAATAGCTGTGGCCTGTATGCATTCAGGACTTGTAAAATCAGATGAGGCATTCAATCTGAAACCCAGAGAACATGCAATAATTAGTCATTATTTGCCAAGTCAGGCTGTGGTGATTATGGAAGATCCCATAGAAACTCTGAGACAAAGGTATAATACTGCCTGAACCACTGAATTTTTAAGGCAAAATACAAACTTGGGTTCCAAGCCTTCATCACAAAGCAAAACAACCAACCTTACACATTTCCCTGCCAGTCTGAGGACCCAGTTCAAAACTCACCTAACAAACATCTTTACATGAACTTAGGAAGTATTCGCTAAGCAAGTAAAAATTGTAAAGCATTCTTACCTCATCATGTGATTCACATAGGCTTTGCTACAGCTGGTGTTGTATCTGCATAGACTACAGTGGACATAAGCTGGAAAATGACTCGCAAAATCTTTTATTTCCGAGAAACACTCAATGCATTTGTGAGTTCCACCACGATGCCTAACAGTAACATCAAAAGTTATCAGTAAATAGCAACACTTTCAGAAGAGGTAAGTATTTCAAACTTTTTGCCTTAAGTAAGTAGCAAGCTTGCCTATACTAGGGGAAAATGCATCAGCCATGTACTTCTAAGTTACACTAGCATGCATGAACAAAAATYTGCTTTTACTTCAAACAAAATTTCATTATGATGCTAATAAAAAAGTGAAAGTTAATGTAAGCATCCATTATTGGCCACTCCTGGAAACAAGATAATGCAGYGGATGAGAACCTCCAACTTCAGCTGCTGCTCTTATGTCATGCACTTCAGAAGTATTTCCAATAGTTGTTTCCATCTATGACAATGCACAGAAGCAGCCTTTGGCTTTTCTGTTAATCTGATATTACCCACAAGCTTTGAGATATCTACAAAGCAAGAACGTAATTCTGCTTGTCCCCAGTTTTGGTGGCTGTTTTTGGGTATTTCCCACAGTTACACACTGATAAAAGTTAGAAGCTGGAAGGGTATCATCTACTATCTTTGACAAAGAAAAATGCTAACTCAACCAATGAAATGACACTCTAGCTCATAAAACACTCACAAAAATAGTAACGTAAGGATAGCAAAYCCCAATAAATTGTAAAGATAAGGACCGATTCTCCAATAGATTTTTTTACTTTTTTTGATAYTTTATTAGCTTCCCAATATGAGGTATCTCCTAGGACAGGCAGGTTTTAGAATCTATTAACTAACGGGTTAAACGAAAAAAAAAMCMAAAAAACAACCAAAAAAGGGAAAGGGGAAAATATTTTCTCTCCATAGGAAAACCTCCAGAGAACACCCAGGCAGATGGCTGTTCTCTGGGGATTTATGTTAAAATATATTTTAACTTTATATATTACAATGTACCACCATGGGTAAGTTTAAAACATAAACCTCACAAATGAGTCAGCATTTCAAGTCTGTGGCTCTATGCAAAAAAAAATATTCTAAATGTGGCACAGAGAAGTATCCATAACACTTGTTCTTCCATCATAAAGTAGTCTGCCACCACCAAAACTGGTGAATGAAAATTTAGAATTATAACCACAGTACCAGTATGTGGAAAGCTTATGCACCTGCTTTCCAGCAAACCTAAGGTGTCAGATCTGTATTACRGTATTAAAGTTAACCAAAAGACAATTGCATTATTCGTTTTTTGCATTCAAAGTGTACCTAAAGACAATTTCAATGCTAGTATTTTACCTTAGATTATGAAATGCTAGATTTGTAGGTTCTTTTTTTTTTCTGCTGTTGGTCCACAYATTTTGTTTTTTTGCTGTAGATTGYTTTGATTTTCCTCTTGACTTATTTGAATTAGATTTGTTATGATTTTTAGTGGTTGTATTTTTAGCTTTAGGAGATAACTGAAATGTGGAACTGCTTGTACTAACAGAAGATGTAGCTGATGATCCTGACTGATGAGAACTCAAAGATGCTCGAATAGTCACCTACAAGTATGAAATGAAAAAAAAATTCTGTTTACATTTAAGCTCTCCAAGTTCCCACTTCCATTTGTCTCAAAGTTTAAGCCACTTTACAAAACAAATCACAGCATAACAAACTCAAACTAAAGACTACTTTGAAGAATACAGAACACTGAAAATTCTGTTGGACTAGGGTTAACCTTTAATTGCCTAYTGGATACTCGAAAAGCTTGCTTTAGTCGAAATAGTTCGTCATGACATAATACGTTGCTTTCTTTTCAGAGSTGCAACTGGCTATATSCTGCTTTCTTAAAAGAAAAAAAATGTAGCAAATCAGCCCTACTAAGAAGRGTATCAAACCACCTAGATTTGATGWASAATCCCTACRTCTTGTYCCCATCTGATTAGCCATTCTACTCCCTTCAGATACTTTTCCTCCTCATCCTAGAACTCCAAGGACTAATTCTGAYTGCTGACCTCTCATCTGGTATTCTCGAACTCTCCTGTCATGYTCTCAAATGTGGTTTTGTACTTCTYACCCACACTCCTAATTTAGAAGCACCTTGTCTTCTAAACATGGTTCCAGGTTCTTCAGTATAATCATCTACATCCTGTCAAGGTCCACTAAAACCAGAATTTTAACATAATCTAAGGGTTTTTTTAGGCCATGAAGACCCTGAAATCTTAAAAAAAATAAGGTATTATCACAGACTAAAGAATCAGTTCATTACATTCCTTCTGCCAAGCAGGACAATCAACAGCAGCTGCAGTCATTTTCTCTTCCTGAGTCTACAGGAAATGAACTGTGAAAAGCTGATCAAAAGGTTAACTTTTCTTCTTCCTTGCAACTGAAAGGACATATATTTTAACACTCCACTAAAAAAAACTGATGGAAAAGTCGCAAAATCTACAAGAAAATCCCAGTCTAAATAGTTCCTTCTTGGGAAACGGAAGAATGACTAAAGACAGCATAAATGTTCTGAGAGGACCCAAGTTCTCCCCACACACCTCCAAATGCTGACCCTAAAGAAGACCTGGTGAACTCAGTTTTAAGCATATATATTTTATGCAGAAGCAGGTCTTGCATTTTGTATGGCTTTTTGCCACCACCTTCCACAGATTGAAAATCTTTCATAAGAAATGATGCAGAAGCAGCTCCCAGCACAAGAAAACATTAACGGGAGAGAACAAATTAACCATCAGCTCAASAAAGCAGCAGCTCTGAATGGACTGCTGGATGTWTGYAGGKGAATGGAACAATGAGACAGAAAGCRAAACCATGCATCACCAGGAAGWAACCATYRATTGTGCCTGGTAGYTCTTGAAACAGGAGCATTTTCTGGAGTTTTCATTTTAGAGGCAAAGAAGAAAAAACCAAAATACAACACACACAAAGTAGTACAACCCCAAACACTTTGTTTTGGAAAAGAAAGGAGAAAAGCACTTCTTTCTATTYCACTCTTTTCTCTAGCAAGACATTTTTTTGCTTTATCCCCTAAACTTTTTCTGCACCTCACTCACCTTTGTTCCAGGAGGCAAGCCTTCTAACTGCTTGGGTTTCCTAAATGTTCGGTGATGYTGAGTCTTGTGATCCATTTTTTCTTTGCATGTTAAAAATTGCAGTCTGCATTTAGTGCAACGGTATATTCCCTTTTTCTTTTAAAGATAAAATAAAATCTATGGTAAGCATGGATGGCATGACAAACAAAACTCTAGCCCTAGATTGTCTCAAGCAATGCTCATCCAGTTTCTTAAGTATCAATACAACAAACTCCTAACACTGCACAAAGATAAGACACTGAGTAAGCATTAGAAMGCATATTTAAATATTTGAAAATGCATGGCAGTACAATTACTAAGAAGAGGAGGAATCAGATTACCAGTTACAAGACACGGCACTTTATTATCTTTTTCTTTATTCAACTAGTGGCAGGTTTGCTAGTAACCTCAAGAAAAGCAGAATTGTATCACTACAATTTGATGAAGTAAGCAAATAGCAGGAGTCTTTCAAGGATATTCAGAGATTATTTTAAATAGGGAGCTGCCAACACACAAAAATAAGGCAAAGTCTAACAATTCCCTGAAAGACTTTTCTTATTCTGCATTCTTTTTAACTATTTTTATTGAGTAACAATCATATGAATCAGATGTGTTTCTTTTTTCAGCAGATTTCTTACAAGTGTTTAGAATTTCTCTGGCATTAATGATTGAAAGTATTTGCTTACCTGATGCCTCATGTAATGATGCATATATGGTGCTCCAATTTTAATTACTTTGAGGCAAAATGGGCATAGTAAATGTTTTGTGTTTTCATGAACTGTTCTAAAATGTGTTTCTACATCTGAAAAAGCTGAGGATCTGTAGTTGCACACCTAAAATAGAAAGTTTGACTTTTTTATTACAAGTTTATTGATAGTGAAGACAGGGTAGTGGGGTAATCTAAATACAAAAKTCACTCTGAGATACCTGGCAAACATATGGCATTTCACCTGGCTTATGATTGTCCTTCATATGTTGCAAAAGAACTTGCTCTGTGTCAAATGATAATTCACAGATTTTACAAATCGCTAGAAAAAGTGAGAAACAAGAAAAAAGTAAAAATTTGATAGGGGTCATACACAGATAAATTATAATACATATGCATTTGTCAACTGCATATATCACTAAAGGCAAAGCAATCTAATGATTATTCTGCTATTTAGAAGAAATGCGTTGTACATTTCAGAAAGCCAGGAAGSTGAGGGCCTTATCCATGAGATCTTAAAGTAAAGCTTTCAATTAAATAAAAAACAAACAAACAAMACCCCCAAGGTCAAAACCAAAAACACTTTTAAAATACTTTTTTGCATATATTGCTCTTTAAAAAAAAAGAGTGCTGTTTCTTTATTAAATATAAAGATTAATCATTATTCAAAATAAAGATTATTGTTCTTTAAGTACAATASCTTTATTCTAAAATTACAAACCAGGAAATAAAAGTTGGAAAATTTCTAAAAATTTTGGCTTAGAACAGAATTGAGTGTGATATGATGGAACTCACTGGACGACTCGTAAAGCGTGTGCGTGCTCTCAATGTGGCACTGCAGCTGGAACGGGGTGGGGAACTGGCGGTAACAGTGCTGGCAGGTGGTGTGGCTTTCCCAACTTTCATTGCTTTGCTTCTCAAGCTCCAAGTGATGTTTCATGTGGTTCATAAACCTTTCAATTATAGTAAACAGATGCAAAACCCTACATCTTAGCATTTTATACATTATACATGATATATCACATGCAAGATGTACAGGATACTTTAAAAACTTTACTTTTACTTACTTACTCAGTAAGGACTTCTCAATTAGAAAAAAAAAACCTTAAGTAAAAGGTGTTTGTTAAAAACAGGCAACAAATTCTACAAAGCTGACTAGAAATCTTGACTTTAAGGAACACACAGAATATCTAAAACATGTTCTAAGACTATCATTACATTTCTAATGTTTGCTTAAAAAAAATCTTGCTTTGAAATAAAGGGAAATGAGCAAAGACAAAAAGAACACATCAGCTAGCTATTCACACTTCATTCACCATRAGAAATCTCAAAGCCACCTTCTGAACCGTGTAACTTTAGCTCTGCTGAAAACTTTAACGTAGTAAGAACATATCTGCAATTTGGACATGACAGCTTTATGTGAAACCATGTCCATTCAAAACTGTCAGGGTTCCAGGAGCATTCTTTGTCTAAAGCATTTAGCCCTGACATTGAATTATGGAGAGTTATCAAAGAATGCCACTGTGCAGCCAACATCAAAGGGTGGGAGAAACTGGTATGTTAATACTTTAAATTACCAGCTTTTCCTCATTAATCTGTCCATGTCTGTAGAAGGAACCCATTCTGGCTGAGAAGCCCAGGCACCCATGACAACGTCAGCAGGTCACTGTTACTAGTGGAGCAGCACAAGGGCAGGCTAGCTGCAAACCACTGCTGCTCAACTCCCAAAATTCCTGTTTCGAATGCACTTCATTTCAATACAGTCACAGGAATTATTAAATGTAAGTCACACYCACAAAAGGAATGCAGACCTTGGAACTGGAAAAGACAAATGAGCAAGGAGAATAGTCTCTTGAGCTCAAGCTTCTAATATCGTGCAGTTGCTCAAAAAAAAGAAACTAGAAAACCAGAAAAAGCCAACTGAGTCTATCGAGGTTCCTCAGCAGAAAGAAGGGACGCTATTACTCCCCACCGGGGAGCCAACAGCGCCCCTSCCTGACTGGGACCGTAACTGCACCAAAGGGGAGGGGTGTGCCTCTGTAAGGCTGTCACTGGGTTTGGGACCGGGTTGGTTGTTGCTATCGTTGTTGTTATTGTTTCACCTTGTTATACATTGTTTTTCCCTTTCACCCATATTCTTGCCTGAAAGCCCGTGATTTTTAAAGCTGTAATAGTTCGGAGGGAAGGGGGGGGTCATATCCACCACTCCAAGGGGGGTCCCTGCCTTCACTGGTAAACACCTGTCTTTCAAACCAAGACAAACACTTACTTCAAAAAGTAAGTAGGATGAAGTAGGATGGTATTATGCATTTATTTTGTCCACTGTAATGAAGGTGCAGAATACACCGTAGAAGAACTCTTCAGTTACAGAACTATGGAATAAAGCTATGAAGTTCCAACCAAAATTAATGTAGCTAAAGTCAGCCCTATAGAATTTTTTTTTAAAAAAGGGATTGTACATCTTTAATGACTTGCTGTGGAACGCATAGGCACCATAGCACCAATTGCTTGCAATATAATGCTGAGTAGAAAATAGTGCCCACTTAATGATTAATAGCACATGTCAYTGTTTTAATTACAGAAAACTTGTTTTTTTCAATAATATGTGTCTAATGTTAGCATCAACCTGTTCATTTTAACTTGCAGACTGTGCCCTTTGAAACAATAGTCCATTTTTCAATTCTACATTCTGCTATTTCAGCTTCCCTTGAAGAGCCCATGTAAAAAAGTTCAGTGACCTTAACTTCCAAAGGAACGATGACACAAACTTGTCTACCTACTAAAACAGCTTACTGAGGTTTTATCAGCATTTGGAAGTAAAATTATCCCCACAAAATAACAGATGTTACATAAGTGAACTACAGACTATTAGTCATTGTGCATCCCTAAAGGGAATTAACACTTGCATCTACCAATATTGCCATCAATCCAGATGGCAAATTCTAAAATACTTTGTGTTGCCCTTTCTAACCTCAAAGTCCTACAAAGTGCTCTTATCAAAAGTCTATATATGTTAGACACCACTAAAATTCATACTCRAATCTGTAAAAGGTTTCAAGTTTTGGCCATACACGCAAAGTAAAAACTAATTCAACTTTTGTTTGATCACCCAATATTATCAGTTTTCAGTACCAAAGGAACTATACTCCAGAAAAAACAGAATTTTAACATAAGACCATGGCTGCAAGTGATTAACAAATAATTAAGGAAGTAAGTTCAAATACCTTATGTTATTTTTAAGAACTTTGAGACAACTGATGCATTTAAATGTCGTGTGAGTCTTCTGCTCCTGTTGTACCTGCTGGACATCACCTTCATCCTTCCCGTAATAAAAGTCGTTAACTAACATAATCAGTTTTCCTTTCTCAGATTCAATGGTCTTACTKGTCGTGCTTAAACACTCTGTTTTGATCATTCCTGGGAAAAAGTTATTTACCATATCTGGACAACAATACTGGATGCAAACAGGGAGAAGAGATGAGACAAAAACAAAGGTATCAGTCTCTCTTACCAAACTGCATTAATGAGAACAGCATTTTAAAAACTGAAGGCACTAACTACAGTTAGATGCAAAGCTTAATTCTCTGACACACTGACCTTAGTCATACTCAATTTTGAGCAATGACTGATCTTTAGGAAGTGTTCAAGCAATAAAACACTATATATTATAAAATTTAAGAAGATTCTCACAGGTTGATGAAAGATAAATCTGATCAAGAAAACAATACTAGTGCTGCCTTACTCTTGCAAAAAATTCCTACTTCATTTACATTTAATAACAAGAAAGAGAAAAGCAGTTTTTATGCAAGTATTTTGCAGACAAGCTTAAGTTTATTGAGATATTAATGGAAAGTTTGATCCTTTATTTATTAAGGGAGAACATATGTTGAAACCTTCAAAATTTCTTTCCAGCATTACTAAAAAATTCAGTATTGAGTCACGYAATAGACATTGTTTGAGCTTCTTTATGTCAAAGTTTACATAATGAATGCTTAGCCCAACAGCCATATTATGAAGTACTTCATAAAGAACATGCTATGAAGTTTCCAATGGTGAACAAAATTAGAATATTTCAGAGGACAAATTTTTCTCCTGCTGAATAATGGTTCTTATCACACGGAAGTACTTTCTATAAGCCTACTAGTAAGGACTAACTTTCCTGCTGTGGAATTGTAATGCCCTATCCTAAGTAAACACACTTCTTCAATGGTTCCTTCATTCCAGTTGATGTACTCAGTGCAAAAGCTATTCTGTACAAATAATGATTAGAAAAAGATAAAAACATTGGCTTTTTCTGCACTGTTAYCCACTCTAATTATGTTTCAGAGCAGCTACTGTTTAGGGTATCATAACCCTGTAAATCAGAACCATCTGTGAGAACAGTAACTCAGACCCTCACAAATTTCTGTTACACTGTAGTTGATGCTCCTTTTTGTTTTGGATATTCACATTGTATATAGACTGCAAAGCCATTTCTCTGTTCCTGAAATGGAATCCATATGCCTGAAAATTGTGAGGCTCTTTGCCAAATGGTACATCTTCTCCAGGAAACAATGTTTACAGAAACAGTAATAAGTAGTTTCATAATCATATGAAGTGATACTCAATTTCTGAAAGTTTTGTTTATCACGGTGTTWAAGTATGAACTACAAATGAAGTTCTTCTCCCCAGCATAACAACTTTTTCATCTACTAGSTATCAAGTATTTTTATCTTGATATACCAAGTTACACTTCAAGATAAAAAGCTAAATTTACACAGTCATCTTTGAGTCATCTGTGATCTTATATAGATGTGGGTCACCTGGCTGCCTCTTATCATAAACACTTACCTTCATCACATTGGAAAAATGAGGCAAAAAGCTCCCCTACTCCTGTCTTGCTCTCTGTGACTGCAAGACTTGGAGCATTTGGCTTTGGCTGATAGCAGACAGAAGCCAAACTAGCTTCATATCAAAACATGGCACCCTTGCATAACCAAAGAGAAGCCCATAGAATTTTGTTCCAATGCTTACCAGCCCCAAAATATTTTACCTTCATATGATTTTTTAGAGGATCCATAAGATTGAAATGTATATTACACTTTGGACAAGCTCGTGGAAAAGGTCCTCCATTTTTAATGGTGCTGGATGCAGCATTTGTTCCTGTAAGATTTAAAACATATAAGACTCAGAATTCACAAGCAAAATACTCTATTTAGTAGTAGTAGCAGTAGCATTCTAACAAAACATGCTGTTTCAAATGGAAACTATTACCATCAGTGAAGCTGTAGCAAYGATAAGCAAGGCTTTACAAGCATCTTTTAACTACTCTTCCTTTTTCCCAGACTTGGTGTTTGTTCTGTCTGATATAAACTGATAAGAGGTTTTAAAAAATCTTATCAACAAACATGGAAAAAACACGTGAGGACATGAAGGCAGCATGATAGGGACAAAGTATTCCTTCTGTGCRCCAGCCCACCGCATCCTGGATAGGATGGATTTTTGATGTTTTTGTTTTACAAATTTTAATTTTCAAATGAACACATAAAGCCTGTTTTCTAGCATGACCTGATCACCACCACAATAGGGTTCTGATAWCTGGTTTTAGAAAGGAATTTTGCCCTTTGGTTCTTACTGATGAGGCTACTTTCTCTGGAGAGTTGTTGGTATCTAGGCCTATTCAAAAWCATTTCTGTTAAGCAAAGGTGTCGTCAGAGAATCTAGAAAATAAATCCTCTAAATTAATAATTACTCCCAGTAATTAAAGGAAATAACACTTCACTTATCAACATAAATGATTAATACCTTTTGAGCTAAAGAGAGGTATTAAAGCTTTGCATTAGTTTAAACTTTAATGAATAAATCCAAGCTTTAGTTTTCTCCAAACTGTCAAAAAACATAGAGCAAGAGCTACTTTTCCAGATGAAATTCTCTTGCATTCTCAAGTCAGTCACAGATCTGGAGCACTCCATACTAAGCAAGCAGTTTRGAAAAGAAACATGGGAAACAACACCTCAGCAGTAGAGTTAACTGTTCCCTGCCAGGGCTATGAAAAGATGTAATAAAAATAAACACTAAACTACAAYGGAAGGCAGTCATTTTCCATAAGATAACAGCTTTCGTAAGAATCATTATTAAGCAGAAAGTCCTTCACATGAGGGGATGGCCATGAAAAAGATGGACCACAAAACAGTGCTGCAAGTCCTTCACTATTACAGCTGTAAAACATTTTGACACATCACAGCTAAGTGCAAACGGAGTTGAAGAAAACCAGTTCTGCAGCAAAATCTCATGTTCTGCAGTGCTTCAGCGCTAGATTTTGTGACAGATTAAAAATTGCTATGCCAGCATGGCACAGCTTGGAGACAAACTCAGCAAAGTAAGGTTCTCAGWAAATATGATTCACTTATTTTTTTACTGACTTTAGCAAGATCCTTCAGTTATCTTTTGGTTATTATAGGCTGCAGCACAGTATCTATTTYATCCAAAACAGGGTGGAGGAATTTTTTTTTGCTGCAATATTCATGTTATAGCCACTTCCTTCTGGTTGCTGGAAAGAGCAAATGAGCTCTAAATAAGACACACAAAAAACCCTCAAATCTGAAATYATTCCAAACAAACATTACAGGAGGGAGCGTGTCTTGGACATGTTCTCAAAGAATAAATCCTTGCCTATTGCAATCACTAGAAAGCACCTTTTGGCTCAAGAGAAAAATGCACCTAACTGTTAATACTCTGAAACAGCTACACTATGTTCCTTTTTGCACGGAGGGAAAGATGTTGCCAAGAACATTCTCTCTTTGAATTAGATCTTCTCTCCCTCTCACTACTATTTCAAACTGTATCAGAAATACTGCTGCTGCAAAAAAGGGGGAAACTCTAAAACACACTTGGCAATATTTAGTCAAAAGTACATAATCACAAAATAGTTTAGGTTGGACCTTTGGAGGTGGTTTTGTGCAACTTCCCACTCAAAGCAAGTCCAATTTTATGCTCAGAGCCATGTCCAGTCAATTTCTGAATATATCAAAGGATGGAAATTCTACAACCTAAGTACTTACTATCTTGCCCGGCATTGTTAAAATGATTTTTTTTTCCTTCATCTGATCAAATTAGTTCATAAAGTCAGCCATCATAGAATGAAATCAAGAATTCTTTCAATCTAGATTTTCTGGCTGATTGTGCTTTCAAGTTTCAACCCCCACCTGTTTCTTTGACATAGAAAATCTGAACTAAGGGAATGAGGTCGGGGCATTTATTTTTATCAACCCACTTCAAATGACTAATTACTGCTTTACAGAATTCAAACTTACCTACTAAACAATAAAGATCTAAAGATTGAATAGGTAATAACCGCAGGTAAATTAATGTGTAAAGGTATATAAATCCTTGCATAGAATAGCTATTTTTATTTTATGGCATAAGAACAGTTACTTATTTACACTGCCTTAAGAGCAATAAAAAYGCTGACCAAGTGAAACACTGCAAATGTGTTAGCTTTGTTTATGACACAGAGGCCTAGACTGCCAGCTACACTATTCAATCTTCCCACCTTTGGAAGATATATTTTGTGATGGTGTTACTGTGAGACATTTACCTGTAGGTGAAACAGCTGAGTTGCCTCTAGCACTGAGCTCACTAGGCTCATTTTGGACTTACACTGTTGCCTTCAAAAGAAGCATRTTTAGATACAAAACCACTCTCCTTTATACCTACACCACTTTAAGATAACGGACCTCATTTTTTCCCCATAGTAATTAGAACACATCAGTGATGCCTGCACTTTACAGTCCACACAAAGCAGTTAASATTTTCCTAAACTAATATGCCATACCGAAGTTAAGAAAACAATATCCAACTCAGACTGAAGGTCAAGGCCAGTGAAGCAGGAAAGGGTAAATGCAAAGAGATACAAACCCATCTCTAAAACCCAGTAAATCATATTATGCCCACCTGAATTTATTTGACCTACTTTTCACATCTTGACCCACTCTAATATGAGAACAAGGTGAATTCACAGTAACAAAGTTAAGCCACACAGCTGGCTTCTGCAATGTCCACTATTTGGAACAAGCTCTGCCCTTCTGATAAAAACACCTCTCCTTCTTTTATGGCTCTGTGTTAATGGTGTTTTAGTTTGTTATTTAACCCTGTAAACTTCAGTCTGCATGCAAAATTAAAAGAGCAACTTTTAATTAATTTTAATGTTGTAACTTTTAAAGAGCAAGCACAGCACGTCTATCTGCTCTCTTCTGAAAGGGTGTTACGTGTCTTTATTGTTTGCAGTATTTCTTCTGAAGGAAATCACTAAAAAATAAACAAAAAAAGACCCCAAAACCACCACCAAAAAACCCCCCAAAAATCCCCCAACAACTTTGAAACTGGGAGGTTCAGTGGCTGACTAACATGCCCATATACACTTAGCTCCAGCTTGTCAGAAACCCATGTCACTGTCACTGTAAGATTAGCCTTGACAATGTAAACTCAATGCAGAGATCTGTCCTCAAGCAGACTTGAAACACAGAGCTACAAACCAAGAAGTCTGAAGTGCCAGCACACATCTTGTAAACCTCTCACCATCACAGACTACAAATACTCTTAAGACTATAATAAACTACGTCAAAGGCTTCAAGTTCTGGACACAATGATCAAAGGTACCGGCATTCTGGTATATCTCCCACCCAACGATTTCTCAGGGTGTAACAAGAAGCTCAACAAGTAGAGATACCTTCTGAAACAAAATTACTCAAACTTCTGACAAGAAACTGTGTATTATATCCATGACAGAAAGAAGGAGCAAAGTATAATGGTGGCAGTATCACCTTGCCAATAGGTTTCTAAACACACACCACCATTGCTCTCTGCATCTGTGATGGTTGGGCGTAACTTTATAAATGATGGAAAAAGACATCAGAAATAGTAACCTGGAATAAAAGTACCAAATGTACTGTGGTAAGAGAATAGGCACATGAAAGCCAAATTGCTCTGGACCTCTAGTGCAGTGTCCCATGTCAACATCTACTGTTAATTTGGAGCTATGAACTAATGGATGCAGTCCATGTGCAGTCAACTCCACACAACAGATCTTTCAGTTACAGCGATTTCTTGTTCCTCCAGGTGGGTGAAGTTTGTAGGAGAACATTCTCACAAGATTCTCAGAAAGAAAGCTACATTTTACATACATCTCCACTGCCATCCTGGAGGTAAAAGTTACCAATGCTCTTTACCCAAACACCACCACCTATGTAGAGCCTAACAAGATGCTTGGTTAGTGTCCATTAGTAACCCGTCACTTCCCTGCTCAGACCTCAGAAATAAATATTTATGTTATACTGAGCTAAAAAACTTCTTTAATGATCCATGTGCATAAATTACATTGTCCTGCAGAATATCAAAGGCCAATTCCCAAAAGGATTATACTTTTAAATACCATATTCCGTAATGTCTTGTGCCCACAGTGCTGCATATGACTTAGAGAAGCATAGCACCAACACAGCCAAGGAGGCTCTGGCATACATGAATATACTCTCATTACCTGGCCTCATCAAGCAAGCCAAACCACAAAACACAGACACTTTCTTCTTGCAAAGTAAAATCTATCTCAAATTTGCCTTCTGTGTCATAAAAATATTCATATTTCAAACCATAATAATAAAATGTTTATTTTAACTAATCCTATTGCCATCTTAACAGAAGTAAATAGACTAAGTATGGCACATTGCAAATGCTTTGAATTGCAATTCTTAATGAATTTAAGCATTTAATTTTTTCTCAGTGAGAGACTAATTCAAGTAATGTTTAAGTAAGCAATCAAGTCTCCAAAGTTAAAAAATACAAGCTCACAAAAAATTAAAACTTTAATACCTGTTCTTTGGAGAACAAGGGCTGGAATACTGAACCATTTTCAAAAAACAAACCATTTTTTTACTTGACAAAAAGCTAGTTAACCCAAAACAAGAATGACACCAACAGAATAGTTGCACACATGCAAGAAAATACACTACTAAACCTTCATTGATACATATCTGGAGTGAATACATAAACTGAAAATGCAAAATCATCACATGAAGCTGAGCAAACCAGTTATCCCCCTGTGCTATGTAACTTTCTTAGCATGACCAGTCAGGCCATTCACCATATAACCTGTTACCTCAGGGAAGAATTGGAAGGGATTGTCACCCATAATTTATGGACAGAATAATGGGATACTGGTCAGTAATTACAAGAGCACAATCCTTCAAAAAGGAGGAAGGAAGTCCCAAGTACACCCTTCTTAAGACTGAATACACTGCATGCATCCAATCTACTTCATCTGCTGTGACACAGACACACACACAAAAAGGCACTTTTTGGCTCCTTTTTAAGTAGGCTAAATATTTACTCCTGAAACAGAGTTTAGCCAGTTGAAAATAAAATTTCTTGTCAAATTACATACTTTCTTTCCTTTCCTTTTCAGAATGATCCTTTTGATCCCATCTACTCCAACTCCTCCATACAGCAATCAGAAAACCAAGATCATTGTAACAGGGAATCCATCCAGCAGAATCAGTTCTCCAGGTACTGCTCACAGTCCTTCTCTTGCTAAGTCCTTCCTATTCCCACTGGCCAAAGAGTGATGAATATATTGAAAATAAACCTTTACCTGCCCATAAAGATACAGTGATCTGACAATGCTTTTTCTCACCACAATGAGCATTATAAGAAGACACCAGTTTGTTTTATAGCCAGTCCAATGCACTGAAAAGCAAAGTCTGACAACACAAGATTCCAAAATTTATTTCATTAAACATTATACAGTGTTATGTATGGGAGGAATAAAAGAAGAAGCTTACTATATTCTATAAATCCTATTTAAAGTTATAATCCAAAAATCTGCACTACAGTTAAATGACATTAGGTTATTTCTTTCTCTTATCAACTACTACAGTTATACCCACCTGTTACATTCACTGCCGGCCCAGTCTGGTACTGTGGAACTCCCAAGTTCTGTCTCACACCAAACAGTATACCAGATGTATTATCTGGTGCATCTGGTGGAGAATCCATAATATAATCCTAATAAGATATTTTCAAGAGGGAAGAGAAATTTGAGGTTTAATATTTTTTTTTACTTTCAGGCTTCAAAGGGTTTATTTTAAAAACATATGATTGCTTAAAAGTACTCAGAAGTACTCAGCTGAAAATCAAGCTCTTTACAATTTCCCCAAAATAGTTTCTCCTGACATTTTAATAMGGTTGCAGTCTCATCAGTGTTTGTTAATTTTTTATAGCTGTGTATTCATAACAGTAAAAACAATCCTAAGACCTGGGAAAGTCCATTTAATGAAATGCTATTAATCTGCTTGAATTGCTAATTGTAGGTGTTTTTGTTCAAAAAGTCTGATGTTTTAAATGCTACTTGACTGATTTTCACAAAAACCAAACACTTTCTTCCTTCAACCTAAACTCAGGCATTTGTCTGTTACTGTTGCATAACATCTAGCTGCATTTTAAAAGACCAAAAACCAGAACTGAAAAATAGCACAAACTTGCAGCAAGCAGAAGCTTCTCAAAGCAAGATGATATTAAGATCAATTCTAGTAAGTGCTCAAGCTTTAAGGAAAGCAAAAGGTATCAACAGCATCTTGACTGCAAGGGTACTCATTCCTGATATCATTAATGCTTTTTTTAAAATGAAATTTTGTAAGGATTTCTGAAAATAATGTAATCAATCTCTCTTTTCAAAGCCCAGCTAACCTAAAAGTTGGTTCATGTTTCCCAGCACCTTGTTAAATTAAGTTTTGTGCATCTCCAAGTACAGGTATTCTTTTATCCTTCAGTTAAAAAGGTTTGCCCTTTAGTACATACAACCTAAAAAATTAAATAATCCACATTTCTTGTCTCCAAGACTGAGAACTGTTAAAACTAAACAGTTCCACTGATCACTCAACAGGTTTCATTTGGAGGACAAAGAAACATGAAATTTAGGTCTCTTTACAAATGTTCTAAGTTAGAGGGTGAGGTAGGAAAAACATTTTCCAAGATTCATCAATACTGGTCACATTTTAATAGGCTATTCATCCTAGCACAATCTGAAAAATGAAATATTTTCAGGAATTGCAATAAGCAGYTAAGAAAAAACAGAATAGAGTTAGGTTTAATTTTAACACTAAGGTAGAAATGGAAAAATATTGGCAATTTCAACTCTGAAATACTTCAAATGGCTACATTTCATCAAGTTGTACTGTGCAACAAAAAAAATTGACAAAAGCAGTGCTATTTTCCTAGAATRAATAAACAAATGAAAAGAATCATTCAATGCACATACAGAGACTTTGTCATCAGTGTGTCCATGACATAAAGGCCACATACATTTTGCTGGAGAGATCAATCTCAAACTGCTTCCCATTCACAATTGTGCTACTCATTTGAAAACATTCCTGTGGAAGTTACCCTTTTTAACTACCACCACATTAACCAGACTTTATGGAATGAAATCTAAAGGAGCACAAGTACATAAGCAGGTATGATAATCTGGTTGAGGACTCCTAAATACCAGAAAAGATCTGAACAAAAAGGAAGACACTGCTCTCCATCCTGCCTCTTAATGGCACATCTCCTTAAATGAAGACCCTTTGGACCTTAATGATAATAAAGTGACATTCTTCTGGTGAGTGACCTAATCCACTCTAACCAAATAAAGACAGATGTTCAGGAGTAGCTGCAGAAATAGCTACTAAATTTCTGTGCTGTATTTGCTACCACTAGCATCTATGTGAGCTGCAGTCACAACAGAGCAGGTGTTACTGTAGTCCCAATAGTTTCAGGAAGAGGCAGTGAAAGGACAAGCAAAGCAGCTCAGCTTGCAGGCCACACCTCAAGCACAGCTAATGCTCAGGGCACAAACCTGAGTGCAGAGCCCTACACACATCATTTATATTTGAAATGTGACAAATACAACACCTACATAGAGACTCTACATCTCTTACTAATCTGTAATTTCTTTGGGTTTATGCCTTGCTACCATTTTAATTTTCATCAAGACTGCAGTCTGGGTATTTTGATGGCATGGGTACATCTCCCCAGTATATAGTAAATATATCCAGCAAGCAAAAAAAAAACCAAAACATAAAACTACACACACTGAAAAATCCATCCCCTAATTTTCMAAAAGTCCTTTTCTGTTGACAGCTATTATTTTAATTAAATTTGGCTTTGCCATTTTATATACAACCCCTTCAATAATGTCCAATGCTTTAGAAAACCAAACAATGTTTAAAAAAAAATAACAAAACAAGGCAGCTTTACCACATTTATGAAAAAATAAATAAACTAACATGTACAGGTGTTCTCACATGCAGAAAGGCAAAACCCTACATCTTTGTAAGTTAATTTCCTAGGGCTCAATTGAAGGGAAGTAATACACCACTACTCTTAGCTTTCTAAGGGACGAGTGTAAATATTGGGCTCATACTCTGCATCCTAGATTTTCTAACGGTGAAAACTCACATGGTAATTGGTAACCAAAACCACCCTGAAAAATGACAATGCATAGTACTGGACCTCTGCTCTCCCAGAATTGCCTAGGAACAACTGGGACCTCAATCACACGGAGTGAAGCAAGTGCCTGTTAAGTAAGGGAAAAGAATTGGCTGTGATTTGGTGGAGCACTGAATTACAGAACATCTTCACTGCTGAGGACAAACTTTTCTCAAAGAAGAGGATAGTCCTATGCTTTGAAATGCAACAGTAGTTTTGACTAAACTAGAATTGCAGTAAACTGTATGACTGAAGGAAAAATCAACTCTGAATTTCTGAAACTGCACAGCAGTTAGCACATTGCATACAGTACAGTAACAACACAAAAAATAGATTGACTTACTTAGGAAGTCAGCGAATCAAGAGCTTGTGATTGGAAAGGGGTATTTCAATGATAAAACTGGAATACCAAACATTGATAAGAGGCAAATTATAGATCTGTTGAAAAATTGAGGAGGTAGGTGTTTAAACCCAGTAGGCAACCAAAAGCAGCCAGTTTCCACAGAAAAAAAAATTCTTTTGGCATCCTGAGATTAAAAAATAATGCCTGCATTTAGAATGCAAAGGAACTTTGAAGGATGTTCAGTTAAAAAGGGGTGCTGTCAGTGTCTAGTCATACCTCATAGTGATCTTCACAACATGATATTTTTCAAAGGTAAGTTTCAACACCTGGAAGCTGAAAATTCAAATGTCAAACACTTCCCAGAAAAACTTATTTGAAGCCTTTGCCATTTAGGAAGAATCAGAAGAAACAGAACACATGTGAACAAGAATGTCATAGAAAGCCCAAGGCAGAAAATCATCACTATAAAACAGCAGCCCCAAGTGAAATAAACACTAGATGGGGAAGGGAGGAGGAATCCAAAAAACCCTAAGGAGCTCTTGAATGAAGCTAATTCAAACCAAGGACATGAGCCAAAGTACAGGTAGCATACACTGGACACTAAGAACAGCAAATCATATAATGTGGCAGGAGTGACTAAAAATCACAGAACTTTGCCCAAGAAGCTAAGTTCTCACACCTCTCCAAAAGAAACACACATCAAACAAGCTTATTCCTTCATAAAAAGTGTAACATAATCAAGTGGTAAGAACAATAAAAACAAGAAAACAAATTCTAGGCAAAGCTGAAACTGAAAATACAGTTCTGAATCTAGAAAAGTTAAGCTGAAGAGATGAGAGATTCACCATGTCTCAAGCAAGGAAAAAAAAAAAAAAAAAA